CCGATAGATAGAGGAAATGGAACTTATCTTCCTCCAACATGTCACACTCTATCTAAAAGGGAAAAGAAAATTATTTGCGAGTGCTTGCATGGTATCAAAGTTCCCCAGGGTTACTCATCAAACATCAATAAATATGTATCAATGGATGATCTCAAGTTAATTGGTTTGAAATCTCATGATTGTCATGTATTGATGGTAACAACTTCTACCAGTGGCTATTGTTGCACTTACCCTCTTCATTTCAACCTAATTGGCTTATGTTTCTCTAAACATACACAGCCATTCATATCATTGGTTCTATGGTTATTGGATTAAGATATCTTCCAATTAATCTTCTTCAAGCAATAGAAGGTGGTATTTCCTCAACCACGTGGTTTATTCAAGTTACAAGGGCCTCTCATGCCACAAGACATCCAAATATATCCATCATGTCATCAGATGATTGAATTTGTCAAAGAATTGAAGTGTGTGACATTTTTTGTGAGTAAGATTATTGAAGCATTATCATCTCATCATCATGCTAGATGTCTTTATTCAAGAGATTCTCCATCATACCTAGAGAAGTTAGAGTTTTGAGGTTGTACACTCATCTCCTAGCATTTTTATTGGAAATTAGGGTGTTGGTCAAAGTCAATCTCCCATTGAATTTTTGAGCAAAAACTTGGTTCCATGGTTCTCTATATATTCTAAATAATCCATGTCTAGAAGATTGACCCTCAATTTTATTCAGAAGAAGCTCAATTGCTCGAATATTTGCAAATCAGTTGAATTTGGGGAAAAGTCAATTGTGCAAGTTAAAAGTCAACTCTTGACTTTTTAAGGTCAAAATTGTGTTATGTAGTTCAAATATGTTCATTGTTTGATATTTTTCCAAGTGAAATAATAAAAATAAAATAAAACATCAGAAAACTGACCAAGATTGACTTTTTTAACACTTAGAATTTTTTCTAAATTTTTGAGGTTTTCATGTTCATCTACCACTTTTCAAAAGGCCATAACTTCTCCATTTTTAATCAGAAATTCACAAGCTTGTGATCAAATGAAAGAGAAAGTTACATACTACAATTTTTTTCTTGAGGGTTCATGCCTAAAAAGTCCTTGGATTTTAAGTTATTTGATAAAGAAGTTGTCCAGTCATTCAAAGTTGAAGTTCTAACACTTAGTGGAATTTTGAATTTTGAGTATTTTGATAAGATTCATACACTTGATTTTGTGGCTAAATATCTCCATGCTCAAGGCTCCATTTTAGTTTGCATTCAACACCAAACTTGTTCACTTTTATTCCCCCTTTCCATAGAACGCATCCTCATGTCTTTTGGTGCAAAGGATATAGAGTTATGCCCATGACAAGATGCATGCATGGACATGATTTTTAGTTGCACAAACTTTGCAATTGTTGAGTCATCACGAATTACATGTTATTTCCTTTTGTTCTGGTCCCACACATCACTGTTTTCACTCCTTTTAATTACTCAATATGGCCAAACAACACGCATACATTGCATGCACACACGTTTTCCACCCTTGGCTAAAAAGAGATAACTTTCTCTCCACAAACTTGTTGCATACACCCTTCTCACATGCCCTCTTGATTTCACACTTTTTCCACCCTCTTTTCATGACCAAAATGACACAGTAACATCTGTATAACACAATAAAATGTAGCACACACCATACATTCCTCACATGGCATTTTTCTTCTTTCACTATTTTCCCCTCAAACCAAACTTTATCTCCACTCAACTCACTCTATATATCACTATTTTCATCCTCATTCACATACACACGCCTTCCTGGAGAGAGAAAGAAGATCTGAAATTCCTTGTACTCAAGAAAACCTTTTCTTCGAATCTGATTATTCTCTGAAGAAAGCTCCATTTTATTGATTATTTTACCATATCTGAAGTTTTAAGATCAAGAACAACTGGGTTTCTGAATGTTTAGGGTAAGGAGAAAGTGCAACATACACTTGACTATGTTTGGTAAGTTTCTTAATCTCTTCCTCTGCTTTCATACTTATATCTAAACGTTGTAGAATTAATTTAACACGAGAATATGCATACATATGGACATACATTAGGTATGATGTGGATAAATGTGTGCATCTGAACCTGTTGTTGATGTTTGAAATTTCTAAGAAATGTGTGAATTAGTGTCTTTTGTGTTTGATTTTCTATGTGATTAGTTGATCATTTGATGAAATTTTTGATTCCATGATATTCTATGCTGTGAGATCTACAACTTTGATGTTAATTTCATTTTATTTGGTTGAGAACCCGAAGAGATATGTCGATCTGAATATTGCATGTTGAACACTGGTTAAGGCTTGTAGTTCTCTAGTTTGAAACATTTGAGCGAGGAAGACGAACTGTGATTGGTTGATTTTTGTGCGCTGGCTCCTTGACTTGGGCCCCACTGCCACTGTGTCCACTATTTGACTATTATATTTCATTTTCTTGTTTTTAGTTTTCCTTATATTTTCTTCATCTTTTACAATTTTTGTTTTGCAACTTTATTCTCATAAAAATCATAAAAAAATTAGGTAATACTTTTTCATGAGTCTATTTTATTGCCATATTCTTTACTTTAATTTTAGAAATTTTGTGGTATATTAAATAAATTTATCACTTAAATATTTCATTCCTTTAGAAATAATTGTGCATATTCTTGATTTTATTTTCAATTTTCCATTAATTTTAAAAATTATAAAAAGTTAAAAAAAATATGTTTCATCTTCCTCAATTTTTTAATTAATTTAATATAATTTTTAATCAATTTTATTTTATTTTTTGTTTGGTTTAAAAAATTGTTGAAGGAGAATGTCTATTTTTGGTCCTTTTCTTGCTTATGCTAGAAATTTTATTTTCATTTTCCATCATTGTTTGATCTGAAAATTCCTAAATAATTTGCGGATGTTTTTGAATGAGTTGGGACACTTTAAATAGTTTTTCCATAATTTTTCTTGTTATATTTATCTTTTTGAAATTTGTTTGTCAAACGTGCTTCAATGGACACCTTTTGTGACTAGTTTTCAATTTTCAATTTCATTTTCCAATTTCCTTCAATGTAAATATGATTCAAAGAGATGTTTATGACTTGTAAATATTTTAATATCATATACATGGTTTTTATATGAATTTTAACATCACTTTTCTATTTTTAATTTATTTAAATTTGGAACATGTCCATTGGTGTTTGTCTTGACAAATAGTGCTTTCATTTAGTTATTCTTGGATATTTTTTTTTATGCTAACCTCTGGTCACATTATAGGTACATGTGTGCTTAAGGATCATATCAATTTGGTTCAAATTATAGGTCCTTTTAAGTTCAATATTTGATTAATCCTTCTTGTGCATTATGTACCTAGTGAAACCATAAAGGTGCTATAATTAGTCTTTTGAGCCAATTCTTATGAACTTTTGTTTGTGGATCAATGATTAAGGGATGATAGGTTCAAGTATAGTCCCTTGAGGATTTGAGAATAATGTGACTTCATTTGATCAATTCTCCTTTTGCCTTTCTATTTTGAACATGCTTCTTGCTTAACTACTTTGTTGCTTGAGATACAAGGAATGCACTTGGTGCAACCTTAAGGAATAAAATTCCTTCTTCTTTATATAATTATCATAACATGTTAATAGTCTTGAGTTCACTTTGTTGAACCATTAAAGAACTCTAATATTGTTTCTTTACTTTTTTCAATCTTTAAAACATTCATCCATCTTTGTGACTTTGGTTTGTAATGCAATTGTGTAATTCCTATTTGAGACTTTGGTTTGTAATGAAATAACGAAATTGTGTAATTGTGAAATTGTGCAACTGATGTGAATAACTTGAGGTTAATTTTGAACTTGTCTTATAATCTCTCTTTATCTTGCTTCTTTGATTCTTTGATTAACATTCAATTGTTAACTCATAATGATGACAAGTTAGAAGCTACATTCATCTCTTTCTTTGAGCTAGTTTTCTATTGTTAATTAGTGAAACTCTTAGGGGTTTATGATCCAACTCTTATGATTGAATCTTGATTTCATCTTCTATTCTCACCTCAATTCTCCATGCTTCTAAGATCCTTTTGGTTAAGCATTTATTTGCCAATCAACATGGTGACACTTTAGAAGCTATATCTTCTTTCTTAATTGAGCTTTCAAACATGTTGCTTATTAAATTCTTCCCATACTCTAGATCCAAGTCCATGTTAGTGATAATTAGTGTTTTATACTTCCCATAAAACTTAAGTACATCAACCATTTTCTTATTTTCAAAAATAATTAGTTTACTATGCTTGTTTCATGATGTGGACTACATGCTTACTTGTTTGTCAAGTTTTCTTGAGATCAACTTTTGTGAATAAAGTTGTAGGTATTTTATTTTGGTCATGCTTGATTGTTGATATTAAGTTTACTTATAGTTCAAGTCATGCTACTTTCATGGTTAACCTTTGCCTACTTTTTTACTTCTAAACCTTTTTAACCACTCACTTGTTTTGCCTAGTTTTGGTGTGTTACCTTGAGACATTCCACACTATCTTTTGTGGTTTTTTGTGATACTTGAATGTGCAATATTATAATAAATTTGTTTCTAAATTGTATAGTTTATACCCCATTATCGTGTCCCTTCTTCATCTATCCCTTTCTTGATGCTTACATGCCTTTAGGAACATGTTAGGGTGTGATTTTGACCACTTCTTGCTTCAATCTTTGAATGTGCTTAAGTATGATGCTTTAGGATATTTATATGTCATTTGTGTGCACTTATCACATGTACTTGCTTCTGACCTCAACCTTGTGTGATGATTAACGCAGTGCCTAAATGATTCACACACTTGTGTTCACCTTTTGAAGCCTGTTGGTTAGGAAAATTATCTTAAATACATGCAAACTAGGGAAAGATGTGAAGATTATCTTGATCAAGATAGTAAAAATAGGGGAACCAAGGTTGTTTCCAAGGGCATTTCCATATTTTGTCAAGATGATTACTATGTTTTACCCCATGGTTGTCATCCGAATAATCGGGTTTCCTCCAAGTTGTTATGTGGTGTTGGGTATGTAATCCTATATTCCCCAATTAAGTCTTGATTCAGACTTCTCAAGTTGAGTTTAATTCCTTCCCCAACCAGATTGTGATTAAGCAAAGATTGTAATATTGTGAAGTTTCTTTGATCTTCCCCGACAAAATTTGCGCAACCATTATTCTTAGTATTGTGATATTTCTTCATAGAAGATGTGACATCATCTTCCTTAGTGAAGTCTATATAGTATCAGTTTCACCCCAAAATCTGTCCTCTTCAGTCTAACCCTAACTTGAACATTAAAAGACTTAAACTCTTCTTGGACTATTGGTTATTATCCTGGGCACTTTGGAGTTGGGGATCTCTTGGACTTAGGATCATAAGCTTTGATACTTTGAGACCTTAAGACCTTTGGAACTTGTATTATTTCATTGTTATTTTGCTTGAATTGGGAAATCTTCTATGTGCAGGTGTTATTCAGTTGGCCTTAAGTGATCTATATGGCACATGTCTCAATATTGAAGATCGTGCTACGGGTTTTAAAACCTTGGAGTTTCATTGATGCTTCTTAGCTTGTGATTTATTTTCATATGATGGTTGATATGCTCTTGGTCTATTTGGATCTTGTGGCTTTTAATCCAAATTATTTGAATTCTACACTGAATTTATAATGTCAAGTGTTGACTTCTTATTTGCTTAGACCTTCCTTACCTTACCTATTACTTTGTGTACATAGGATAGTCTTTTAATCTCCTCCCATTCTTCTTTAATTTTCAAAATCATCTTCCTTTTGGAAAGGTTTCTTGTTTTCTAAGTTGAACCGCTTTCATAATAAACTTGAACTTAGGTCCATGCATTTTCAAAAACATTTTTCTTAATCAAATTTTAATAAATTTATTCATACTTTGTCATCTTTTTGAAAGACTAAAAGTCATTAACCTTATTCAAATTTTTGCCACGTTGGCTTTTCTCTTTAAGACTTTTTTTCTTAAAATTAACCAACACACAAAACTTTTCAATTTTTTTGAGGAGAACTACAAATGTCCTGATCCCCTATTGCACTAAATGTGGTATGCAGGCACAAAAGGTTGGTAACCGCGGCGGGTGAAAAAAATTGTAAAACTACTTTTCTCATCTCCACAATCTCATTTTGTAAATATTTCTTTATAGCTAAAATACAAAGATTTTCAAAGAGGTTCCTACGGAGTACCATAAATGTTTAGGGTCTAACACCTTCCTATGATACGGTGGGAGAACTGACTCGGTTCGTTTGCATTTGATCGTAATTGTGCGGTTAGCAAGAGTCACCACCGAATTTTCTTTTATCCAAAAGGAAAGGTAAAAAAGCACAAGAAAGACCTTTCGAGATTACTTCTCGGGTTCGGGGGGTAGATTATGAAAAGGAAAGGTGTTAGCACCCTTTTCATCCATGCTTTTCCATGGGCTCTTAGTTGCTCGCTAGATCACTTTCTTTGTTTGAATGTGTTTGTGGTGTGGTTTTTGAAAGTATTTTGAAAATGTCTTTGCAATGGTTCTCGTCTCTATAAGAATGCATACAAAGTGTTGTTTCGAAAAATAGTTCAAAGAGGTGTTTGTGTATTGTGTTTTTTGAAGGTGATTTTGAAAAAGATGTTTTTGTAATGATTCTCGTCTCTATAAGAACGTATACAAAAATTTTTTGTCTTTTGAAAAAGGTTTTAATGTGAAAGTATTGGTGTAAAATGTTTGTTTGTGAGCAAGCGAGCAACTAAGAGTGAATCTATCTACTCGAAAGATCTTAAATGTTCTTTTCTTCCTCCTTTAGATGTTTTTATCTTACCATTTATTTTGTAAGAAGCCTCATCGTTGGATGTGAAGGGACAAGCACAGGACGTTTGTACAGTCATAAAAGGCAACTTGCGAGACGCTTTAACGATTTTTGTAAGGGACTAGATCGTTTTACCGAAGGCAACATCGAAGGACATCGAGAGACTACGATCTTTTTTATCGAAGGGTCTTTGCTAAAGTATCCCATATTTGAGGGACATGACTGTATTTCTGAGGCAACGAGCAAAGTTACCCTAGAGGTGCGCGTGTGAAAAAGTGTGTTTGATTCAAGTTATTTTGTTCTTTGATTAGGTTATCTAGCGATTGATTTTGAATCTTGCCACGCACGCCTATTTACTATACAGTGTATAAAAAACAGTAAATTGCGGAAATTGAAATTCTACGCTATTACAGAGCTTTTGGGAATGGGGAGTATAAATTCATAAATGGGGATGAATTAGTACAATTAAATGTCCAAATAGGCAAACAAAACGACCAAATCGAATCGAGAAATTAATCGAAATTACAAAAAGTTTATGAAGTAAAAACTAACTGACAAAGTATAAAGTTCTAAGTATTTTGTTTGAAATTTTTTTAAAAGAAAAATGAAAAAAATCTATTATATTAATTATCTAAGGAAATTAAATAAAATGCATGTAATTTTGTTTGGATTTTATTATGAAGAAACTAAATAATTTAAAAGAAAGTTTTCTACACTAAAATGTTAACAAAATTATTCACAAAATACTAAATTAATTAGCTATATTTTTTATATATTTTGAAACTAACTTAAAATTCTAAGTTATTAAATAAAATCTGAACTAATTTAAATATATTGAAATAACAAAAACTAAAAAAATTAGCAAAAATAAACTAAATTGATTTATCAAAGTGTGTAAATAGGATGATGGGGCAGTATGAAAGAAATCTGGATGGGCTTTGAATGGGGTGATACCCAATAACATTATTGTCTTTCTCTTTCAGCAAATAAAAATAAAAAAATTTAAAAAACAAACTGGGTCGGATCGGGTCGGGTCCAACCCAGCTCTGCTCCATAAACCAAACTGGGTAATGTAACCCTAGTAGATGAACAACAACGCCTCCCTTCTTCTTCTCTGCTTTGTGAAACCAAACTCCCCCTGTAATCTCTCTCTCAACCGATCTCTTTCTCTATGAAACTCTATGTAACAGCAATAGCAAACCTCTCCCCTTGGTCCTATGTTACAATGTTTATTGCTCAAATACCCAAAATCACAACATAAACCAATTAATTTAAATTTTCAACTGAAAGCCCTAGAATTAGAAATTGGAAATGAAACTCAATCAAGAAGCAATTCAAACAATGAATGTGTGGATACGAATCAGAGAAGCAAAGGCTACAAGATGGTATAAAAATAACTCAAAAATCTTACCTTGTCAGAGATAGTCTGTCGGATCCCGACTTCAGCAACAATAAGCTATATTCTCCTCTTCTTTTGTTCTTCTGTTGCACAAGCTTCTGTGTGTTTTTTTTGAAATTGTTATGTTGCCTTATTCTAATGATGGATTGATGATTGATGCAATGATAACGATGTTGTTAATGTTTGCAGATGAACATGGAAGGTGAGTTGAGGGGTTGAAGGGTAGTGTGAGTTATGAAGTGAAATTTTATGGGGAGGGGTTCGTTGAAACATTGCTAATTGATGTTTTAGAAGGAGGTGATGAAGGTTGACAATTGGATGTTGATGGTTGATGTACGAAGGGAGTATGGTGTTGGAATGGTAGAAAGTTTTTTCTGGTTTTTTCTTTGCTGGTTATCACAGATGTTCTCCCCCCTTTGCTGGTTTTTGGCTATTGGTTATTTTTTTCTGACTTATGGTTTTTATGCTGTCATTTGTAGCTTGTTGGTTTTCTGTTTTGACAGGGTTTGTGCAATGAGTTTTCAGTGATTTATTTTCTGAGTTTTTGCTCTTGGTTTCTATATTGTCCTCTCTCCTCTTTGTTTTATGGAACAGTTCCTCTATTATATTGAAAACAAGATGGAAAAATGCTGAAAAGAGGTCAAAAGTTTGAGCAAGAAAAAAACCTTGAATCTCTGCCAAAATTCCTAGAGTTTCAAGAATTATAAACACAACACACAAAAAACCCGTTAACTTTGGATCCCCTGCTTTCAAACTCCATTTGTTCTCAAAATATTTCTTGACTAAAAAACCATCCATACAGTTTCTGACCCCACACGTTAGAAACTGCCATAACTTCTGTAGTCACACTACTACATACTCTCTATCCATCCATTCAAAGAAATCAGAATATCACCCTCTTTCCATCCCCAGAAGTTGGAAACTTTCAGCTTACTGAGTACGTGAAGAAGCCCTTCAGAATGTCATCAGAGTTGAGGTTAACTCCGGTTCACAGAACTTCTTCCAGCTGCAAGGTAAGCTTCTGCTGACTCTCACCATATTGCTTAAGCATCACCAAATTTTCATGCTCAAAAACACAATGTAGATATCATGTTTCTAATGTCGTACATGTTCTGAGATTTAATGCATCTGCCTGCTTAAGTAGAGATTGAATTAGTTCAGAACTTTCTTGAAGAAACTAGAATTCAAAGTTAGGATTAGCCAAGGCATACTTGCATCTGATTTATGGTTCTGATATTTCTTATATCTGAAACACTAAGACACCTGTTGTAACTGTCCTATGCATGTCTTCTATTTTGGGGAGAAATAACAAAATTGCAGATGTTCTGACTAGCATAGAGAGAGAGAGAAATACCAAGTTCTGTTAGTGGCACCAGCGTTTCTGGAGTCTGTTTTGTTGCCAGTAATGTCAGAATTTCTGAAAATTACTGTGTTCCCAGTGGGTTCAGAACCTCTGGCCTCATACATTTCACTAACAGGTTTCTATTTTGCAGTGTGCCAGGGTCAGAACCTATGACTTCATTTTTATCAGCAACACGCTGATTCTTTTTTTTCTCTCTTTCCTTTTTTTTCTTCTTTCCCTTTTTTATTATTATTTTTGCTATCCCTCTCCATTCCATTAATCAGCAAACATCAAAAGTATTTCCTTCACACTTTATTTTATTTCTTAAAACAAAAGACCAAAAATATTCTCTTGGAACAAAACAAATCCAGTTCATATTTTCTTGTACATTTCTATGCATTTTAATATGGTTGTAATAGTAATTTAAGACTTTATTTTCATTTGCAACCCCCATTCATAAACTTGTACCCCCATCCCCTAATATTGTAATAGCGTAGGACTTTACATTTCTGTAATTTATCGCTTTCGAATGTAAATGCTAGTAATTAGGGTGTGTATGGCAAGATATGAAAATTAACAAATAGAAAACCCTAAATACAAGACAAAATCAAGCATGAAATAACACACTTTCAAACAAGCATCCTTAGGGTAAAATCCAC